CACCGCTGAAACCGCACCTTCCTCTCAGTGTAACCCCTCCCCGTGCATAAGACACGCCCCCTCACAGGCCGCGCCCCCGATAGCCAAGCCCCACCCCTTGAGCCCAGGCCACGCCCCCAGGGTACATTATTGCCCCCAGCAGGGAACTGGGGGGACAACGGGGGGCAACTGAGGAGGAGAACAGGAGCCACAGCCAAAGGTCCATCGTTCTTTATTCGTGACGTAAAAACAAACCCGCTGAAAAAACAAACAAAAAGGAACGAAAACCCAAAAAAACGGGGCAAAACGCCCCTTCCGGCCCCAAACTTCACCTGTGCTCCCCCCCCTCCCCTCCAGAGACATTTAGGGGGGTCGAGGGGGGGTTTGTCACCCGTCTGGGGGGTCCCGGCAGGCCAGGCCACTCCCCCGTGGGCAGGGGGTGTTTTGGGGTGAGATGCCGGGGTCTGGGGGCTCAGTGGCAGCAGCCCCCGCAGGGGCCCCCCCCGGGGTGGGGGTCCCCGAACCTGGTGCTGCGGCTCAGGATCTCGTAGGACGAGTCGTCCCCGCAGCAGCCGGACACGCTGGGGGACGTGGGGTCCACCTCGAACCTGGGGGGGCACAGGAAAGGGGGCTGAACCCCTGGAAAAAGGGGGTTAACGCCCCGAAGGGAGCTTAACCCCCTCCCCAATAAAGGGAAGTTGAGCCCCCTGAAGAAAGGAGGTTTAACCCTCCGAAAAAAACAGGAGTTTGAAACCCCCTAAAAAGGGGGTTAATCCCCATAAAAGGGGTTTAACCCCCCAAAAAGGGGTTTAAAGTCCCCACGAAAGGGGTTTAAAATCCCCACAAAAGGGGTTGAACCCCCCATAAAAGGGGTTTAAAATCCCCCAAAAAGGGGTTTAAAATCCCCACAAAAGGGGTTTAACCCCCCAAAAAGGGGTTTAAAGTCCCCACAAAAGGGGTTTAACCCCCCATAAAAAGGGTTTAAAGTCCCCACAAAAGGGGTTTAACCCCCCATAAAAGGGGTTTAAAATCCCCATAAAAGGGGTTAAAAATTCTCACAAAAGGGGTTTAACCCCCCAAAAAAGGGGTTTAAAATCCCCACAAAAGGGGTTTCACCCCCCATAAAAGGGGTTTAAAATCCCCATAAAAGGGGTTTAACCCCCCAAAAAGGGGTTTAAAGTCCCTACAAAAGGGGTTTAACCCCCTATAAAAGGGGTTTAAAGTCCCCCCAGAAAGGGGTTTAAAATCCCCACAAAAGGGGTTGAACCCCCCATAAAAGAGGTTTAAAGTCCCCATAAAAGGGGTTTCACCCCCTATAAAAGGGGTTTAAAATCACCATAAAAGGGGTTTAACCCCCATAAAAGAGCTTTAAAGTCCCCCCACAAAAGGGGTTTAACCCCCCATAAAAGGGGTTTAAAATCCCCACAAAAGGGGTTTAACCCCCCATAAAAGGGGTTTAAAGTCCCCACAAAAGGGGTTGAACCCCCCATAAAAAAGGGATTTAACCCCTGAAAAAAACAGTTTAAAATCCCCCTAAAAAGGGTTAACCCCTGAAAAAAAGGGGCTTTAACCCTCCAAAAAAGGGGTTGACCCTCCAAAAAAGGGGGTTTAACCCTCCAAAAAAGGGGTTGACCCTCCAAAAAAGGGGTTGAACCCCCTCCAACCGTGGGTGCCCCCCTGCTTGGGGCCGAGGTGCCGAGGGGGGGTCCCGAGCACCCACCTCAGTCGCCGCCCCTGCCCCTCCTGCCCGCGGCGCCCGGCCCCGGCCACTGCAACGACAGTCGGTGCCACAGGGGTTACACCCCCCCCGGGGGGCCTTTGGGGGGCACAAGGGGCGGGTTTGGGGCAGCAGCACTCACTGCAGGGCCTCCCGGAAGAACTGGAACGCGCCCAGGTTGTGCTTGAACACCGTCAGCATCACCTTCTTCATCTGCGTGCTGGGGGACCCCGAAACGGGCTCAGTTCACCCCGAAACGGGCTCAGTTCACCCCGAAACGGGCTCAGTTCACCCCG